TGATTCCACACAACATATAAACGGGGTAGAAAATAGCTAACTTTCACAAGGCACTCATTTTAGCACTGTACCCATGTAAATCCAATTAGCCCTCCCCTCACCTCATTTCTCTTGCGCTCACTTAGGAGTAGGGGTGCTCCGATTGATCGGCTACCGATCACTATCGGCCGATAATCACGTTGGGATGATTGATCAGCGGTCTCTAAAAAGGCAGATCTCCAAAAATCGATCTCAAGCTGATGACGCTGCCGTGAGAGGTTTGGCTCGACATGCAGAGGCACCGTCTCAGTCTCTGTCCGGCGCGGGTGAAATCATTATAATGCTATAATTTCTTCATTAAATAACTTAGTTATTTGAAAACCTTGTGTGAGATGTAATTTCACAAACAGTGTGAGTGAATCACCGCGCTCTCTCTCTTTCTCTCTCAAAATACACAAATGTCTTCAAATCACCACATCGCGTCTGTCTATAAGCACAGAAATAGTCACAGAAATTGAGACAGGAATAGTCACTTGCACAATCGAGGCAGTGTTGTGTCATCACTAAAGTTTATAAATTGCATTACTTTTTAATTCTTGCCAGTGTTCGCGTGCTCTCCTGGAGACCGTGCGCTCATGCACACTCGCAGCGCACACACATAACGCCGGGTTCACATTACTCCGTTTGCAGTGTTGCGATCGCGTTCAGGAGCGGTGCGTCTGCTGCAGTGCAGAGATCTTTTCCACACCGAGTCTATTGCCTATTGCTAAGCGCTGAATTAAAGTAACGGTGCATTTTTTGCAGTAAATATGAACATGGATTGACACGAAAATGTAGTAATTACACCATAAATGCATATTATTAAAGTCCAGTCAACACATATGTTTTTTTGGCTAGGTTTAAGGGGAAAGAGCACTTTTAGATAAACAAGTCAATAATAGATGGCATTCGTGGAGGTAGGAAAACAAAGTTCTTTAAGTTCTTTAGGATTGCTTGTAATAAAGATTTCAATGCAAAAGAAAAGGCAGTAGAGCTGACTATTTCTGCTATTTCTGTGTTTGTGATAACGTAAGAAAAGTAGTTTAAATGTTTTGACACTTGCTTGAGCAACTTAATATATAAATCTAGAAGTAAATGCAAAAGTAAAAAGCATTGAATAATGTGTTGCTTATATTGTTGCTTATAATATGTATTGTGTTTAAACATGTCTGTGAAAGATTGTAATACTGTACTGTGTAAAAAAAGAATTGCAATGCTGGAAAAGCATTTTCAGTGACAATGTTTGGATTTGAAATCAAACTAATGGATAAATGTTGTGTTTGTGGTAAACAGCCAT